TGATTATTTAGACCAGAAACAAATGATTGAARCRAAYTTTTRTCAAKTTTTCGAAAATTTCAAAAATACCCTAAATCGTCACTTACGCTGTTTTCAAATCCGACCCTTCATTTGACCAATCAGAGAGTGCATACTTTAATAGCTAAAATAAAAAGAAATCTAATACAGTGTCCAATTAAGAAATAACTTTTGCACTCCTTGGAATTTTCCTCAACCAATTATTTCTTAATTGGACTAGAGCATGGGGATCAGTAGATTATGATCCAAAGATTCATAAATTACACTGTAATTATGTAAACTGTAAAAAATGTAAATAGTTATGTCTGCTAAAATGGACATCTCGTGTACTTGGTCTACTGCCAAGCACTCCTTACTTGTAAATAAAAAATGTTGAGTTTAGCTAAGCACGTCAAAGTTTTTAAAGGCCCTTGAGAATTTATTCAATTTTTTTGGTAGGCCCTCTTCAACATCCTCATACCTCCCCTTGGCACAATAAATGTACTTTTCCTAACACAAGAACCTTCATATCTCAATCTGATAAAAAAAAAATCTTTATTAGTATTCCTTATGAAAGGAATGGTCCTGTAAAGGTCTCGGGTACTGATATATCCTATACTAGCAAATATTTATTTTAATTATTTTGTTATGTCAGTATTGACATTCCTCAATCTTGACAAAAAATACAAGACTTTTACTAATATAAGAAGCTGTCTTGTGAGTAAATTACCGATTGTGTTTCAGACTTGACTTGAGAGAACATTTCCTACACCATACAGACTTGTTTAAGCACATCAAAGTAGCACAACACAGAAACCTACAAAAAAATTCATATAATGACATCAAATAAGTGATTAAATAACATTTGTTGAATATCTCAAAATTNTCCAACCATCGTATATATTGTTGAAATGTTCTTGCAATGCGTGCTTTAATTTGATATATGGATACATGATGGTCTTCCCCCACCACACTTCCCAGTTTTGTTTTTGAAGTTGCTTACTTCTTATATTGTACAAAGTCAAGTCCTTTATTTAGAATTCTGTTTACAACCATATGTGCATTAACTAATTGCATCCAGTTTGCCGGATTTTGCACTAAGTGAAGAATTAATAGAAAGGCCTACTCCATTGGTTGAGTTTACCAGKCCATGTTTACAGTGTTGTGCAATTACTGTTATGAACGTATCAAATGTTGAGAAAAAAAAGTAGCATGGGCACCATCAAAGGAAAATGCTTTGTTCCGTCTGCCTTTGCAGCACCAGCTGTGGTTGGATTGGTTTTCCCTTGAGTAGCTGTTGTACTGTTTGTGGCAGCAGCAGCAGCAGCAGTAGCTGTTGTACTGTTTGTGGCAGCAGCAGAAGTTGTAGTGCTTGCAGGAGGTGTGGTAGGGACTGTAGGAAAACATAATTATATTCAAAAGAATTTATTTATTTGACTGAAACACCGCTTGAAACTGAAAGAACAAATACAGTGATGAGATGAAGTTTCCTGCCACGAGCTAACAAATCGTGAGACTGAATCATCTAAAAACAACAATAAAAAAAAAAAATAAAAAAAAAAAAAGACAAAAATAAACGGTAAGATTCTCATGCGCAAAAAACGTAAAAGAAAGCACGAAAAAATGTCGCTGTAAAAGATAGCCCTGTATTCCCAGAAGACCTAATCTTACTCGGGGAAAATGCGAATTTAAAGTGACAGTCCACATTCTATATTTTGGATGGTAGGTCATGCACAAAAGAACAGAGGACGAGACTCAGGGGAAACAAAAGACATTCGTATTGCCTCATCGGAGCCTCGTTTCCAATTAATTTGTGTTAGTCAACCATTGTATCGAAACAACTCGGCTATAGTTATTACAGCATTTTCTCCTGCATTCCTTAGACCCTTTGTAGTTCATGGAATGCAGCTCGATAACAGAATGGATTCTAGTTAATAAACAAATGTTTTTTTGTTTTCCAGATGAAGCTTTTTTAGTTAGCACCATATACAAGGAGTCAAAAAAAAATCGATTTTCTATTGTTTGAMGTGCGAAAGTCATTATTTTGATGCATTTGCATTGGGACTACTTTCTCTAAATTGCAGCTTTGAAAAATTTCCAATTTTGTTTATTCGTATAGCTGAACCTTTGTTTTGAAAACACATAGCAAACTTCTACAATTTGACAGCAAAAAGTTTGCCTTTTAAAATCTAAAATTGAATAAAGTTTTGAAGACCTTATTCGTTTTGAACAATTCAAAATACTGAGTATAGATCAAAAATATTACATTAGCTTTTTACCTTCGTTAAAACGAAGAACCGCCTTTGCATTGTCTTCACCACCAGTAAAATTGCACCATACTCTATAGGTGCCAGCATCGCTCATTTTCACATTATTTATATTGAACCATGCTTTCACTATTCGTAATCCAGCCCACGTTACTCTGCTATCAGCATTTCTCACGACGTAAAACTTTCTCGTCGTAGTGTTGTACATCACTTCATTAAGCACGGTGCCCGGTTTGGTTCCTGGTGGATTTGCTTCAAGGCCGAACTGACAGGAGTTGATCGACATTTGCACATCGTCAGTGAATTTGAAAGTAACATTGTCACCAACGGTTGCATTGATGTCAGGTAGATCCTTTATGTTAGGTGAGAATCCTGCATGGGCAAGCAAGAAAAATGTCATAATTTGCGATGAGCGAGAGCTCAGCTATGCTGATATTTTCTTAAACGATTAATAGAATGCAAATGTATAAAGCCATTTAACCTACATTTAGCAATAGTACATNACAAAATTCACGTGTAAAGAGAGGAGCCCACAAGTTTTTTGACAAAATGATGAATGTAAGAGTGAAAAATTGTTCAAAGCAAAGAGAATGTAACAATAAAACCAGAGGATTCAACGTACAAAAATTGTGGTACTCGACAAGTCAATTTAAGGAAACCGCCTAAAGGCAAAACAGTCAAAAAACTTCTAGCTGGAACTCTGAACGCCGTGGCCCACGAACGCCTTGAGAAAGCCAACAGCGTCCAAAACATCCATTGAATTCAACCCCAACGACGAAGTTTCAACAGCACACAAGACAAGGAAGTACTCGTACCTTGTATTATACCTTATTTCCAGTTACAATTCTACTTTTCCTATATACTTTGAGTAATTCTTCTACATAATCTACGATGTAAAAGTCATATAATAAACGAGTTATTAACCTCGCTTGCTCGATCTGTACGGGAAAATATCAGACCTCGGTCTTTTATGTACGGATCTCGCTGTGCTCGGTCCGTACTGTCAAGACCTCGGTCTGATATTTTCCCGTACAGACCTCGCGCTCGGTTAATAACCTCTTAATATTTCTGTTATATGTCTTTCCTTCGCTTTTTTCCCCTCCCGAATAATTAATTAGTATGAGAAGTCGTTCGAAGTCCTCCAATTCGGACTGGACGGGATTTCAAGTCCTTGCAATTTGTTCCAATCCTTGGCTAACGCCTTGGACTGGAACTAATTGCGCGGACTTGAAATTCCGTCCAGTCCTCATTATCGGACTTTAAACATACTTATTGACCTCAATATTAACAAAATCTTTTTAACCGTATGAAACTGTTTGTTAAGAATAGTAACTGTTTAAACAAATTATATGCTCATTTTGCATCGATAACTGTAACAAGGGCACTTGAATCATTTACGCGTTTGATTAAATTGTTTCGAGAAATCAAGTGCTACTTCTTCCTTGATAAGGTGGCATTTGAGAGTATGACCACTTTATCTTTGGAAAGTTTCTTAAAAGGCATGAGAGCTGATCGTGACATGCCGACTGTCGCTCAATATAGCTACATGAGAAGATCGCGTTGAGTGGAAGACAATGCTTCGCATTCAACAAAAGCACTTTTCGTACTTCACTGGACCAAACTCCCATTATCCAGAAAAAGGTCATTTGTAGGGAGCCTCCAAATTTGGAACTCCGAAAGGAAAAGAGAACCGAAGGCGTCCCGTAGGCTAACTAAAGAGGAGAGGAGGAAGTACTGAAAGAGCTTACAAGAGAATATGGTAGAGGCACACGACAGGAGAACGTCCGCTCCAAAACAAAAGAACTAGTTGGTGCATTGCCTTATGCGTTGAGATCGTGACCACACCCATAACGTCGTCGACGCATTGGGCAGAATCCTATTGTTTTTGCGGACATTTTGACAATTTGGCATAAATTAGCATTAGTATGCATGGCTGATTCTGATCGTGTTTGATTGGTTGATTTCTTTGATCAGGGAATTAACGAAATCTCCAAGCAAAAATTTGACAGCTGTCAATAATCCAGCTTTGGGACCACATAGGTCCCCAGGCTGTCAATCTTCGACTGAACTGCGTTACTCTTTTAGCCGTGAGCCATGTCAGAAAGTGACTTATAAGTCCTATTATAAAATACGAGCTTCAACTCGAACTGTTTTTAGCCAAGAATTAAAGCGTCCATGCTAACTTAAGATAAATTCTGATTAATTTGAAGTACTATTGTGTCAAACAAACTAGGCTTTAATAAGTCGAACTTTGATTACAACTCGAACCGTAAAGTCAAAAAAACCGTTTTTTTATAATAAGTTCAGTCGAATAACAGCTATAACTAGCGGAACTGTAAAGTCAAGAAAGCGTTCTTTAATAAACTTCAGTCGAACAACAGCTACAACTCGAACTGTAAAGCCAATAGCGTTCTTAAATAAACTTCAGTCGAATAACAGCTATAACTCGAACTGTAAAGTCAAGAAAGCGTTCTTTAATAAACTNAAAATTGAATAAAGTTTTGAAGACCTTATTCGTTTTGAACAATTCAAAATACTGAGTATAGATCAAAAATATTACATTAGCTTTTTACCTTCGTTAAAACGAAGAACCGCCTTTGCATTGTCTTCACCACCAGTAAAATTGCACCATACTCTATAGGTGCCAGCATCGCTCATTTTCACATTATTTATATTGAACCATGCTTTCACTATTCGTAATCCAGCCCACGTTACTCTGCTATCAGCATTTCTCACGACGTAAAACTTTCTCGTCGTAGTGTTGTACATCACTTCATTAAGCACGGTGCCCGGTTTGGTTCCTGGTGGATTTGCTTCAAGGCCGAACTGACAGGAGTTGATCGACATTTGCACATCGTCAGTGAATTTGAAAGTAACATTGTCACCAACGGTTGCATTGATGTCAGGTAGATCCTTTATGTTAGGTGAGAATCCTGCATGGGCAAGCAAGAAAAATGTCATAATTTGCGATGAGCGAGAGCTCAGCTATGCTGATATTTTCTTAAACGATTAATAGAATGCAAATGTATAAAGCCATTTAACCTACATTTAGCAATAGTACATACAGGTTAAATTTATCATTTACAACTGTTTAGTAATTATATATTCCATACTTAATTAGTCAGAGGGAGTAAAAAGATAACAGAAAATGTAAATAAATAAAAAACAAAAATGGGTAAGGAGGAGCCGACGAGTTCGTTCTGGGAGAATTTATCTGTTCTTATATCCCAGCCAGTGCAAGTTACAACTGGTTGCCGGCGAGAAGTTCAGGAAAAAAACTCTCCAGGCAAGGAATACTCTCTAAGAGAAGAAATTGCATACTATGTCATAGATTACACTTTTTAAAAACCCTTTTTAACAAATGTAGTAATACTTATGTATTTTGAATTGTTATACAAGTGGATCGAAACAACTGGGATCGAAACGTCTTTGGATCGAAATACCGGGTAAACGTGAAGCATACTATCTTTAGGTAACCTTTTCTACTGTAGCCCCTTCCTCTTTAGCGGCGAGCAGAATGAATCGTTAAGAGGACTGCTCAGACACTCTAAGGGTGCTATCGAATTCTACTCCTGCTTCGAACAACTAAGAAACCACATATCCTGAGGCGCCTGAGTGGAGGTGTATGGCAGTCGCACATGCTGATTCGCCGCCAATCGGCACAGGATTTGTTGATTGAGAGGGTTGGTGGAGGTCATGACTTGCACTTGACTTGGATTTAAGCGAGGGAGAGTTGCGTAGTTCGTCAGCGTCGCTCTTTCGTCSGAGAACATCTAAATCCAGCGGCAAGACAGAGTCAAGGTCAGACGACTGGAGGCAGAAACGGATGCAGTGGATGACCGTTTTTATTAATTAATAATTATAATGATAAGAAGAACCAAACTACTTTACGTGTCCTGTAATGCACAATTTGTTCTACAAAGCTCTGCTGGTAATCGCAATTTCAGCATGTYACCTTGTGATTGATATACCAAAGATTTGTGAGTATAAAACAATTGTAATCCTCAATTTGTGCAATCGGTCTTTGCATTTTTAAACTTTGTACCCTTTACAAAGTTTGAATCGACACTCCTTTACCTCCATCCCTCTAAAGGTGRCAAAGGGCTGAYAGAAATTGAAAGCCTTTACAAAACAACAAAGATAAAGTTGGGCCACTACATCASATGTAGCACTGATCCTCACGTTCAACTTGTACGATCCTACCAAGACTCCAAAGAAAAGAAAGCCCAAAGATCAATCATCAAAGATGCAAAAGCATTCGCAACACAACTCAATCTTGACGTAACATACGACACAGAAGACAAAAGAACAGTCATAACGTCTGACGGTATAGTTACAGAAGTACGTAGCTGCCAGCCAAAATGCATCAAGTCTATCTTAAGGAAGGAAGTAGTAAGAAAATACGAGGATGAAGTTAAACAACAGCCTTGGGTAGGTCATCTTATGGTCAAACAGTGGCAAAACAAAGATCTNACCTTGTGATTGATATACCAAAGATTTGTGAGTATAAAACAATTGTAATCCTCAATTTGTGCAATCGGTCTTTGCATTTTTAAACTTTGTACCCTTTACAAAGTTTGAATCGACACTCCTTTACCTCCATCCCTCTAAAGGTGACAAAGGGCTGACAGAAATTGAAAGCCTTTACAAAACAACAAAGATAAAGTTGGGCCACTACATCASATGTAGCACTGATCCTCACGTTCAACTTGTACGATCCTACCAAGACTCCAAAGAAAAGAAAGCCCAAAGATCAATCATCAAAGATGCAAAAGCATTCGCAACACAACTCAATCTTGACGTAACATACGACACAGAAGACAAAAGAACAGTCATAACGTCTGACGGTATAGTTACAGAAGTACGTAGCTGCCAGCCAAAATGCATCAAGTCTATCTTAAGGAAGGAAGTAGTAAGAAAATACGAGGATGAAGTTAAACAACAGCCTTGGGTAGGTCATCTTATGGTCAAACAGTGGCAAAACAAAGATCTGCACAAAGAATGGTGCGATATTACAAAAGTCTGGAAAAACATCCCTACTGTAGTTTTTACAGTATCCGCACAAGTATTGTCCAACAACTAGTACCAACGAAAGTATACAAAGTAAAGAAAATACAAGGAGACGAAGATGATCTTAAATGCAGGTTTTGCCACAACAAGGAAGAAAGTATTACTCATATCATGTGCAACTGCTCAGCCCAATCGCTCTACAAATCACGATCACATGCTTAGGCCGGTATACCATGCAGTCCTAAAGAAGTTCAGTTTGACCGATGACGATCACAAAGTAACACCATGGCACAAAGAACCACCACCAAAGAGCTGTGTCGAAAATGAAAATGCAAAAGTACTGTGGGATATCCCCATCTAYCAAGACATTCCTCCAAGCAATGTAGCAAATAAACCAGATATTATCATATGCGACAAGAAATGCGATCAGTGGATTATCATTGAAGGAACAATCTGTAACGTAGAAGAAATACAACAAAGAGATCAGATGAAAACGGATAAATATAGTGACTTAAGATCTAGTCTTAAAAGACTGTACCCTGGTTTTACAATCACTCAAGTCAACATTGTGTTTGACTACTTATCAGGATACCAAGAGAACTTGATTACCAAACTATCTAGCGTAGGACTCGCCGATGAACTAAATATTGTAAGAAAGTCTCTGCTTATACCATGTAAAAACAGTCTGAAGTTTGAATAAACCACTNTGTAAACAAAATTTTAGCTTTTCTTTCCAGGAGATAAACATGAACATTTTATCAAATTTCTATCTTCAATGCGCATTGATTCCAAAAATAATAATAATTACAAGGTCAAGTTTGTGAAGCTACTGAAATTGTTATTGATTTCATTGATAAATTTAATTTTTTTCCATGGAACAAAAGATTGCTATCTTCCCCCCGACTAATCTGTGTATTTATGCAAATATCATTCAAAAAGCAATGCATGAATTGCGACATTCGAGCTTGTGTGACTTGCCAAAGCCGCATAAATTATATCAAGCGAAGACCAGCATTCGGCGTATACCAGAAATAACAAAATATTTTCTACCAAGATTGGAACGCAAAGCCTATAAAAATTACAGCAACTATTGGATAAAKGATTGAGCTATTAGTACAAGGAGAATAAGAGAAATCTCTGGAGCCGTTTCGAAGAAAATGGAMTTTTCGTGATTTTTTAACAGGACGTACAATTTAAGCTTTTATTCATCTCCAGTAAAAATATTGTAATTCTTTTGATTTGAAAGGTATAGAACTGAACTTTACACACACTAATTTTAACAAATTGATATACAACATATCGCAAGATCATGGCAATCGGTTGTATATTTATTTATATACGGCTGTTTATTCTATGTAGGTCATATTTTGGGCTCATTTTTGAGCCGCGTTCATATCTTTTATTCTGCCCGAGATTTTCCAACCAAATTCATAACCCTTGTGTAATTTTATRAGATATAMAAATTCTGAAAATTTCAAGATGATCCAACTGTTAGTTTTAGAGTGAATAGTCGAAAACTKGAATTATCACTGTTTGAAAATGTGCTGTATATTTAAAACCAGCCTTTAAATTACTAAATACTGAAAACTGTCAAAACCTGCAATAATTACTGCATGTTTTATCAAAATTATAGCACGTTTTACTAAATACTTTTGCGAAGCGAGCGAGTTAAAAAAGTACAAAATTTGCGTTTCATTAGTTGTGATCCACCTTAAAAAACTCTTTTATCCTTTAAGTCCGGCAAGGCATTATGCAATACTTTCAATATTGCTGTCTGTTTTGAAGCAGTCAGCAATATTTTAAATATTGCAACTGGCTAACCTGTTTCTGTCTGCATTCGTTTGTCTAATGCAGAGGGAAAACAATGGGTTACGATCGATATCAGTAATTATTTGGCCAATCTGAATTATTTGTGAGTGGCATGGGTGGCCTGGTGGTTAAGAGCCACTTCGCGCAAAAATCAGACATATCTTGGCAAGGCTCGAAAAATCAAATCTATTCATATTTTGTATATTGATAAGGTATGATTAGGTAACAATCGCTGTGTAATTGGTTTTTGAAAATATTTCATTTTTCGCAAGAAAATCGCTAAACAATGTCACATACTGGGCCTTTGCGTGACAAATGTTTGATGGCTAAAAATAGCACTCGAAATAGCCAAACTTTCTACCGAGCTTGTGTGAAATGTAAAATAGTAATTTCAAAAATTTAAATTGTGGCTTTCTAAGTAACTCTTTCTTATTTATTTCGTTGATTTTCAGAGCATTTAATTAAAAAGAAAATTTTCTAGAACTCTAAGTGTTTGCATATGTAGTTGTATATGCAAATTAGNAATTTCAAGATGATCCAACTGTTAGTTTTAGAGTGAATAGTCGAAAACTTGAATTATCACTGTTTGAAAATGTGCTGTATATTTAAAACCAGCCTWTAAATTACTAAATACTGAAAACTGTCAAAACCTGCAATAATTACTGCATGKTTTATCAAAATTATAGCACGTTTTACTAAATACTTTTGCGAAGCGAGCGAGTTAAAAAAGTACAAAATTTGCGTTTCATTAGTTGTGATCCACCTTAAAAAACTCTTTTATCCTTTAAGTCCGGCAAGGCATTATGCAATACTTTCAATATTGCTGTCTGTTTTGAAGCAGTCAGCAATATTTTAAATATTGCAACTGGTTAACCTGTTTCTGTCTGCATTCGTTTGTCTAATGCAGAGGGAAAACAATGGGTTACGATCGATATCAGTAATTATTTGGCCAATCTGAATTATTTGTGGGTGGCATGGGTGGCCTGGTGGTTAAGCTGCTGGCCTCTCACCGCTGTGGTCCGGGACCATATGTGAGTTTGAGTTTATTTGATGTGTTGTTCTCTCCCTTTGCCACGAGGGTTTTTCTCCGGGTCCTCCGGTTTTCCTCCCTCAGCAAAAATCAACATGTGAGGAGTGTTGTGTGCTAAAATACTTAATGAAGAGGTAGTGAGTGTGAGTGTGAGGGCCACAAGTTCATCAGTTCATTACTGTCACGTGTTTACCCTCTTAAAACAAAGTTTCTTTCTTTCTTTCTTTCTTTCTTTCTCCCTTTCTCCCTTTCTTTCTCCCTTTATTTATTTCTCCCTTTCTTTCTTTCTTTCTTTCTTTCTTTCTTTCTTTCTTTCTTTCTTTCTTTCTTTCTTTCTTTCTTTATTTTATTCAATCTTTTAGAGATTGAAAACTCTCGTGCAAAGGCGCCATGAGAAATGTAAGGAATTCGTTATATCAGAGTCTCTAAGATCTGGAAATAATCTTCGCCCCAATCGTGTGCAAACCAATAGATTCCAAAATTTTGTAAAATTCAAATGTATGTGTTTGTCCTTTTCCATTTATTTACCAAGCCTGTAATTCAGTATTATCATTACTGCTAGTGGCCTTAAATAAACAGTATTATTATTATCAGTCTAGGAATCAGAAGTACGCGCATGTGCGGATCGCATGGAGCTTCGAGTAGTATGCTTACGAATTATTTATAATTATATATTTAATAATGTACAGCCTTTTGCAAAAATTATGAGAATTGTCGAAATATCTAAATATCATAATATCGAGTGCATGATGTGTAATCCCGCGCGATGCCCTTAGACCCTTGTCTTTGTAGTTTAGTTTTTTTTTGGCGACAGACGTAGTTAGTTTTTTTTTGGCGACAGACTTATCCGTAGTTCTGAACATTTTCTCGATGTCAACAATGAATTTTTCTAGCAAACCCGCGTGTTCCGGACAATATATGGATATGGATATTATGATATTTAGATATTTAGACAATTCTCATAATTTTTGCAAAAGGCTGTAATTGTTATCATATTATTTTATTGTATTACCCACCTTTAATCGAAGTCACCTTGAAAGCCAACAAGAGAAACAGAAGCCGAAATGAATACATCGTGCTGCAGCTCGATACTCCTGAAATTAGGATGAGTTAGGTTACTCACAACTGTGAGTTNTCGATTAGCAACATATGTCTTGAACCTGCGAGACTCGTTGTTCACATACTGGATGACTAGCTGAGAATCTGTCCAGAAGAATACTGCTGATATCGCTAACTGGATTTCCTTCATCACCATGTTATTCACACGAACAGCGATAGTGGCTGCTTGAAGCTCAAGTCGGGGAATCGACACATACTGCAGAGGGGCAGTGCGACTTTTCGATGTTACAAATGCACACTCGACAGTTCCATCCTCCTCCTTCTTCCGCAAGTATGTAACCGTCCCATATCCATACTCTGAAGCATCACAGAAATGGTGTAGTTGAAATGTTGCTCTTGTTGCACATCCTTCAACGAAGTAGCATCGAGGAATGTTTACATTATTTAGAAGTGGAAGTTCTTCGCGCCATTTTCTAAAGACATGTAGCAAGTCGTCAGGAAGTTGTTCGTCCCAGTCCAGTTTCAGCTGCCACGATTTCTGTATGACCCTCTTGGCCTTCAACAGCACYGGAGAGACCATACCCAAGGGGTCAAAGGTTGAACTTAATGTTGACAAGCAGCTTCTCCTCGTGTTATCATCAGACGGTTTGAGAGATACCTTAACACCGAAGGTATCATTCTCAATGTTCCATTGCACGCCAAGTGCCCTTTCAGTAGGAAGTTTGTCAAGATCRAGATCTTTAATCRTTCTCTCTTCAGCAGGAATCGAAGCCAATACTTGCTTATTGCTGGAAGCAAACTTAGTGAGACGAAAGTTCCCTTTCTTTAGTAAGTTCATTAACTGTAGTGATGAATCAACTGCTTCTTCAACAGTAGGTTTTGAGAACAAACAATCATCTACATAAAAATTGTTGTTCACAATGTCACAAATCCCCTTGTCAAATTYATCTTCATTATCAAGGGCAGTACGTTTTAAGGCCCATGAAGCAATGCAAGGCGAGTCTGCCTTTCCAAATAGATGTACCATCATCTTGCAGTCGATCGGCGGTTTGTTCATGTCATCATCAAACCACAGGAAACGGAGAGCATCCGTATCTTCTTCTCTGCAAGCTACTCTGTGAAACATGCTCTCTATATCAGACGAAACTGCTATCTTTTCCTTTCTGAAGCGCATCAACACTCCAATGAGTGAATTAKTAAGCTGAGGACCTTGAAACAGTTCCTTATTTAGTGATGTTCCACTATATGTAGCTGCTGCATCATAGACTACTCTTACTTTAGCTTTGTTAGGRTTGACGACGCCATGATGGGGTAAATACCATGTTCGACCAGAAGTGCGAGTTGCCTCTTCACGAGAGAGTCTCTTTGCATAGCCTTTGTTGATATATTC